TTTGTAGTCTAGGCTGGTACTGGACTTGCAATGATCCTCCTGCCTCAGCCTCCCAAGTGCTGGGATTACAGGCTTGTGCCACCATGCCTGGTCCCCACATTTATTTATTTATTTATTTATTTATTTATTTATTTATTTATTGCGGAACCGGGGATTGAACTCAGGATCCTGCGCTTGCCAGGGAAGCGCTTATTCCACTGAGCCATCTCCCTGGCCCCTGTTCATTTATTTCTGTGGTTCCCAAGGACGGAACACAGGACCTTCTCCTGTGTTCTCCATTTTTTATTTTGAGACAGGGTCTTGAACTTGTGATCCTCCTGCCTCAGCCTACCCAATTGCTGGGATGCTTGGTGCGCACCAGCGCGCCCAGGAGCTCACTTTTCAATCAGGAAACTGTGCTGCAGGACGGCACAGCTTCCAGTGCCCACGTCCATGGGTGTAGCGACCAGAGGACTGGGCGCCCTGGCCCTGTGTTGCAGGTGTGTGGCGAGGCAGAGGTGTGGCGCCCTTGCGCCCTCAGGCAGACAGGAACTGGAACCACAGGTGCTGGCTGGGGACAATCTCCAGCTGGGAACCGCCCGGGGCCGGACTCCAGCCAAGCTGGTACCGGCTGTGGGCTGAGGCCCGCCCCACGCTGCCGGAGACCGCGCAGTCAGTGGAAGCGCAGGTGTGCTGCTGCGACAGGGAAGGACGGTGCGAGGGTGCGCGCTCGCGTCCGTGCTCCTGCGCCCGCGCCCGTGCTCCTGCGCGCTTCGGCCCAGGCTCGCGAATGATTTCCACGCGGTCACTAGAGCCCGGCGATGGGAGAGACCGAGGCGGATCCTGCGGCCCAGTGCGCTGGGGACGCAGGGAGCCGGCCGAGGCTCTAGCGGAAGAGGCACGCACGGTGGGTGCTGGACGCGGCCCACAGTGGAGAGCTGCGTGCCCCGGGGGCAGCACCGCCCTCAGGAGGACACCGCGGTAGGGGGACAGCAGGGCCGCCTGGACCCAGGCTGGGGTGGTCACGGCGCAGCCAGGCCTTGATTACAGGGAGGCCTCCGACGTCCGCGGTGCTCGGTGCTCGGGGAACAGCTGTCTCTCCTTCCAGGTGGCTGTGGGGCTGGGGGAGGGGCGTTTGGCCCGGGGCTCGGCCACCTGTCTCAGTCACCTGGCCAGGGACCTGTGCCCACTTTCCCGCCAGCTCGGCCTTCTTCCTCGTCCTCATCGGTCCCCTCCTCCAAGCTCGACTCCCCCGTATCCCCCTCCTCCCTGTCCTCGAAGACCCTGTTCTCCGAGTCCCCAGGGCCCTCGCCGTTGGCCTCTAAGCCCCAGTCTTCTCCCAGCACCTCCAGGACGGCCAGAGGGGGGCTCCTGGCGTCGGGGTCCAGGTCCAGGAGCCCCTGCAGCAGGGCCAGTGCCGGGGGTGCGAAGCGGTCCCATGGCGCGGGCGGCTGAGGTGGCTGGGGCCTGGTAGTCATCCAGCCAGCAAAGGCCTCGAACTCGGGGTCAGGGGCCAGCGGCACATCCCAGGGGAAGCAGGCGGTGGCGGTGCAGAAGAGCAGCACGCCCAGGCCCCAGGCGTCCACGGCCGGCCGCAAGGGCAGCGTGGCGGGGGGCAGCAGCAGGCAGAGCTCGGGTGGCACAGTGGGCAGTGGGCCGGGGGGCGCACAGGCCGGGCTGCCCTCGGGCCGGGTCAGACCCAGGTCACCCAGGGCCACTCGGCCACAAGCGGGGTCGAAGACCAGCACGTTGTCGGGCTTGAGGTCGGCATGTACCAGGCCCCGGCTGTGGAGGAAGTCCAGCGCCCCGGCCAGCTGGGCTGCCACGCGCTTCACCGTGGGCTCCGGGAGGCCCTGGCGGGGAGGCGAGGTCAGGTCCTGCTGCCCCCTCACCTACCTGTTCGTGATCCCCGGGGACTCCCGCCATTGCAGCCTCCCATGGGGCTCCTGCCTTCCTCCTTCCCTCTCCTTTCTTTTTTCCTTTCTCCTCTCTTCTTTCTCTTCTTCCTCCTTTCCCTTTCCATTTTCTTCCTTTCCTTCTTTCCTGCCTTCCTCCTTTCCTTCCCCTTCCTTCCTTCCATTCCGTCCATCCTTCCTGCCTCCTCTCCCTTTCTCCCTTCCTCCCTTCCTCCTTTCCTCCTTAATCCTAACTCAGAGCCAGCTGCCTGAGCAATACCCCAGCCCCTGATCCTCAGATGCAAGCGGGTGTGGATGCTCATGGCGTCAGGCCTGGCCTGGGCCCTGTCCAGAGGAGCCCCGCTCCTTCCCACAGCTCCTCCCGGGGCCGCCCCTCCAGAGTACCCCCTACCACGTACCCCTCCACCCATGCACAACTCCAGTCCCACCCCTGCAGGCTCCCTTCCCCTAGGCTGGCAGTGGGGGACAACTGGAACATGGGGGCCCTGAGAGGCCACAGTGGCTCAGCTGGCACCACCTCGGCTCAGGGCTGGCCCATGTGGGTCCCACCAAGCCTCACCTTCTCCTGGAGCAACCCGCTGAGGTCACCCCAAGGCGCAAACTCCTGGGCAAAAGCGAAGTGCCGGGGTGTCTGCAGGGGCAGCCCCAGTGTGCGCAGCAGGCCTGGATGTGAGGACACGCAGCGGCCCACGCAGAACTCTCTCAAGAAGGTGGCTTTCAGGACCGAGTCACGGCGGAGGAGCTTGAGGGCCACCGTGGGGCCTGTGTGCCGAAAGGAGTCACGTCGGAACCGCCGCACAACCTCCAGCAGCTGCTGCCTTCTTAGGGCCGCAGGCGCTGCCGTTGGGAAGGGCGGGCCACCCTGTGCTGTGTCAGCCCTGCACCTTCCTGGGCAGCTGGAGGACCCTCCCGGGTGGCTCGGCGCACTTACCCCCGCGGCGAGGCTGGGCCAGGAGCACTCGCCCGTAGGAGCCCGAGCCCAGCTTCCGGAGCAGGCGGTACTGGACCCGCAGGCTGCGCAGCAGGGTCACCTGGGGCGCCGTCAGCTCCACCAAGCGCTGCAGTGTGGTGGCTGTATCTTCCTGGGGGAACAGTGGGATGGGGTCAGTCTGGGGTCCCCAAGGGCAGCGGGGTAGGTGTTACAGCCCTGCTGGAGACGCGCAGGGTGCTGGACACAGGGGTCATTGTCCCCAGAGAGGAGGATGAGTCACAGTGACTCACAGGCTAGGCCACCTGTCTTTGTGTTCAGCAGCCTTGGGGGGTCTCTGTCCCAGAGGTCTTGCCTGTCCCCTCTGTGTGAGGCCATCAGGAGCCTCCAATCCCAGGGATGGCACTTGGCCCACGCTACCCAGTGCCCATATCCCCTACATGCTGCACTGCTCCGGACCCCTCATGGCTTTTCTGGGGTAAGCCTCACTGTGCCCCTGGGTTGCCTCTCTTGCCCCCCACCCCCGGCCCAGGTCCCTCATCCACCTCTCACCTCTGGTTCCCAATCCTCAGGGGTCTCAGGGGCCCTGGGCTCCATCCCTGGCGCAGGGGGCCCTTGAGCAGATGCCCCAGTCCAGGACCCCACGGAGCTACCAGCACCCAGGCCTGGGACCTGGTCCTCACGGCGCCCCGCCTGTCCCCTCTGGGTGTGTCGCCCTCTTCCAGCCCCTGCACGTTCCTTGCTATCTTCTCCCCTCTCTGCCTCCCTTCTGTCCTCTTGGTGCCTGTCCCTGACTCTGTGTGACTTGGTCTCTGTCTCCTTCTCTGCCTCAACCTGGGGTCTCCGAGGGGGCTCTGTCCTGGCCTAGCTCTGTGACCCACACTCTTGCTGTTTTGCCCCACGGTGTCTGGCCCCGGCCACTGCCTCTCGCCCTAGCTGTCCCGTGGGTGCCCTGTGGGCCAGTGTGTCTGTGTCTCTCTCCTCTCTTTGTTCTGGCTGCCGCAGCCTTTGTCCCTCCCTTTCTCTGGGCAGAGGTGTGTGTGACAGCTCAGAGACAGAGACATCCTGTGCCCCACGCCCGCCTCACCCCCCTGAGCCACGGCCCCCTCCTTCCCCTTCCAAACTTAGACCAGCTTGGACTCCGGGCTCTGGTCCCAGGACAGAGGGGACAAGCGGACTGTGAACCCCCAAGGGCCAGGCCTGAGGGCAGGAGAAAGGGGGGAGCCCCATTCACAGCTTTCATGGCTGAGGCTTGGGTTTCGTGCCTTCCCCTTCCTCCAGGGGCTGGGAGCCGCCACGGACGGACACCAGGGACTCCTGGCAAAGCCCTTCTCCTTCTTGCCGAGAACCTGGGCCTGGCCTCCACTCCCAGATCCAGGATCCTGGCCTGGCCTTTTCCTCATGACCTGGGGGCCTGGTCTGGCTTCTGTCCTCAGACCTGGGATTCCTGACCCAGCCTTTTGGGCCAGGGAAATAGCTCAGTGGCTTAAGTGCCTGCCTGGCAAGTGCAAGGTCCTGAGTTCGATCCCTGGTACAAAAAAAAAAAATAGGAAAAAAAAAAAAATCAACTTCCTGACCCAGCCTTTTCTCTTGGACCCAGGGTCCTGGCCCTGCCGCCTCCCTCGAACCTGGGGTCCTGGCCCTGCCTCCTCCCTCAAACCTAGGGTCTTGGCTCGGCTTCCGCCTCATGAGCTGGGGGTCCTGGCCCAGCCCCTCGTATAGCTGGGCCTGTATGTGGGTGGGGCCCTGCCCTCCCAGCTCGGGTTTGGGGTCAGGGCTGTCCCAGTGCATGGATGAGGAAACTGAGGTTCCGACTGGGCAGCGGGGTGGCCACAGCTGGGCAGGGCCCGGCCATGACTCACAGCTTGTTGTCCCGGCTAGAGTTTCCACTACTACTACAGCCTGCTATTAATAAAACCCCAAGGCCGCCGCTCAGCTCGGCTCAGGCCCAGGGAGCACTGGGATGGGGAAGGAAGCTGCCTCATCGCCCTGGCGGGTGCCGCGATTGCTGAGGGTCCCTCGCTTTCTGGCCATCTTCCCTTGCTGTTCTTGTGGTGAGGAAAAAGGGTGCAGGTTACTTGAGGGTGCAGCATGCCGGGGTCTCCGCAGGCGGCAACGCGGGGACCCTTCCAGCAAGGCAGACGTGGAGCCCGGCGCGCCTTCTGCCCTGGGCCCCGGCCCTTTCTTCTCAGAGCTGGACGCTGGGCATAGCACCCCCCCCACGCCGGTGTGGGTACCAAGCCCGCAGTGTCTGCAGGCCTGTCCCCCACACCAAAGGCCACCCAGTCCACCAGCCACCAGTGGCAGCGCTGTGCCATCCCTCTGTCTGTCACCTGTCCACACACTGGGGGACAGAAAGTGCCCCTGGAGGGCCATTTACTGGGGCACGCTCCCTTCTGCCTTCATTCTCTGAAGACTTTGAGCCATTTGCTCACCAATTCATGGGTGGACCCTGAGGTCTGGCGTCCCCCACCAGGGCACCAGGCTGTCCCCAGGGCTTGGGCCAGCAGCCTGCACAGACCCAAAGGTCAGGAGGCAGGACGGCCACCTGGGCCCCGGGGCAGGACACACAGGGCTCCCGAGGCACATTGGTGATCCGGGGAGCTTTGCACCTCCCCATTTAGCAGCGCCACTGCGCGGGGTCACCCGGCGTGACCTCAGCACACACGTGTGGCTGGGAGGTGCCACGCCAGGCCCTCTGGAGGGTTCTGCCCCTTCTGTGACCCATCTTCCCTCTGTCCCTTCCTAGCTGAGCGGAGGCCCACGGACCAGGGTCCCCCTGCCTCTGGACCTCAGTCCTCCCGGAAAAAGGAGGGTGATGACCGCTTGTACCAGAGCGCCTCTGTGGAAGGTGCTCTGGAAGTTCTGCAACAGGCAGGATCCAGCCTGAACAAATCATGTCTAATATATCGCTGGTGGCTCATGCCTGTAATCCTCAGGAGGCTGAGGCAGGAGGGTCTCCTTGAGTTTGAGGCCACCCTAGGCCGCATAGTGAGGTAGGAAGCCATTCTGAGCTTTCCTCACACCAATGTGAATACTCATGGACCACATGTGCATGTATACTGCCCTACAGATATTCCATGATGTAGGCGTGTGTAGCTTATGCGGGCTGTGGTAACGTGTACGATGTCTAGGTCATATACTATGTTTCGGGTACATTTAATACAAGAACATATAGGGAACGAGGTCATAAAATTAATGTAGAGCTGAGGCTATAGCTCAGTGGCGGGAGCTTTTGTAGCATGTGTGAGGCTCTGGGTTTGATCTGCAGCACCTCATAAATATTTTGTTCATAGGTTCTTTGGTAGTGCAATAAAGAGAGAGGAAAGGTAAACGAAGCCTTTATTAATGCCAAAGACAGGAACGAGGGCGGATGGGGCAGACAGAGCCTCTAGCTGAGACAAAGAATGTGGCGGCTTTTATGGGCTTCCCCTGGGGTGGGCTTGAGGGGATGTTTAGAAACACCCAAGGAGCTGAGTGGGCTCTGCCCTGTGGTGGCGGGAAGGGTGAAAGGATACCGCTCCCTGGGCTGCGCTGGAGAGGCAGGGGTCATGGTCTCTGGGAAGATGAGCTGCTCTTTTAAGGGCTTCCAACACATTAGATGGCCGCTATAATGATGCGGCGGTTCACACTAGGGCCAGAGCCTATCATGTGTGCACTTCAGAAATCGTGCAGTTGACTGGGTGCAATCCCTGGTATTGCAATAAATAAATAAATAAATAAATAAATAAAATTGTTAAAAGGGAGATAGCTCAGTAGGATAAGTACCTGCCTGGCAAAGCGCAGGGTCCTGGGTTCAATCCCTGGTATTGCAAAATAAATAAATAGAAATCATGCAGTTGACAACCTGCCCATCACCCTTCTCATCTGTGAACCAAAGAAGAAAGCAGAGGGGCTGTGTCCCGGGGTGAGCTGCTCTGTCTGGAGAGAGCTTATAAAGCAGTAAGTGTAGACCTTGTCTCTGCTGCTGTGGGTGGCTCATGTCTAATCCCAGCCCTCTGGGAGGCTGAGGCAGGAGGATCGCAAGTGCCCAGCTTAGTCAGTTTAGCAGTTCACTCTCACAAAATCAAAACAGAACGGGTTGGCGCACCAGGGCTGTGGTTTGGGGGCACAGTGCCTGCCTGGGAAATACAAGGCCCTGACTTTGATTCCCGTACCAAAAAAAAAAAAAAAAAAAAAAAAGTGGGGTGGGACGTGGCTCAGTGGCAGCCCTGGGCTCCATCGGGACGGCAAGCCCTCACGGACACCCACTTCTGGGAGCTGCCCTGGGAAGTAACTGTCCAGGACTATCGAAGCCCCAGGGCAGTGCTCCCAGAAGTCACCTCATCCCAGGAGGCATTGGTTGTGTTTTGATTCAGAAACCCTTCCTGCCCCATAGGTGTCAGACCTCACTCCTGGAGGATCGCCTTGCAGGCCTATAAATAGCGTGCATGCGTGACCTTCCGGGCTTGCTTTGACCTTCAGCTGCTGGCTGCAGGGTGTTTGTCATCCCTTTCCTGTGAGAGGGTCAGTGTCCCTGCAGGCTCTGCTTTCCCAGTGGCTCAGGTTTCCCCAAGGTGAGCTCTAGAGCCACCAGGACAGCCACGCATCCAGAGGGGACTGGGGAGGGGCAGAAGGTGGAAGACCAGCTTGTTTCCGTGCTCCTGCGGTAGGCCGGGGAGACGGCTCAGTGGAACGAGCACTTGCTTGGCAAGCGCAAGGGCCTGAGCTCAATCCCTGGTTCCGCAAAAAAAACCCCAAAACATATGGTTCTGGGATGGAAGTAGGACCTTCATGCTGAGCTGTACGCCTAAAATTTTTATTTATGTATTTTTTTTATTTTGAGACGGGGTCTTTCTAAATCACTAAGTTGCCCAGGCTGGGTCCCAACTTTGGGAGGTAGATCTGGTTTCTTTTATGAGAGAGGGTCTCGCTATGCAATTCAGGCTGGCCTTGAGCTTACTTTGTAGCTCAGGCTGGCCTCAAACTCAGCGATCCTCCTGCCTCAGCCTCCCGAGTGCTGGGATGACAGGTGTGCCCCACCACAACTGGTCCAATTGGCTTATTTATTCATTGTCATAGATCTTTCCAGACCCTGAAACAGACCCCGTGCCTCATCCAACACAGCCGCTGGCGACAGTGGGTTTTTCTAAACTGAGAAAGATGTAAGTGTAAAATGAACTCTGTGGATGTGAGAAAGAAAGTAGAGCTCAAAGCCTACTTTGAGCTTGGAGGACTTGTACATCGAAGGCTAACTTTCCTGACTGATTTACTCTGAGGCAGATTTTTTTTTTCTTTTCCTGGTACTGGGGATCAAACCCAGGACCTTGCACTTGCCAGGGAAGTACTTGTGCCACTGGGCTCCCATCCCAGCCCTGAGGCAGGGTCTTGCAGCCCAGGCTGTCCGCAAACTCAAGGCCCTCCTGCCTCAGGCTCCCCAGTAGCTGGACGACAGGTGAGCTGCCTCCTGGCTTTTGACAGCCTTGTGGACACACTTTCCATCTTGTTACTTGTGGATATTGTTTGTTTATTTATTTAATTGATTTATTTTTTTGGTGGAACCAGGGATTGAACTCAGGCCCTTGGGCTTGCCAGGGAAGCCCTTATTCCACTGAGCCATCTCCCCGGCCCCCTTGTGGATTTTAAATTTGGAAATTTGCCTACTCCTTATGTCCATCTGCAGCCCTCAAATCAGGGACCACGCGTGTCATACCCAGGGAGGATGCAGAACTGGCCACACCTGCCATCCCAGCACGCTGGGAGGCTGAGGCAGGAGGATCGCAAGTCTAAGCCCAGCCCGGGCAACTTAGTGACTGAGTAAGCATCCATCTCAAAATAAAATTAAATAAATGAATGAACTATAGAAGTAACAGCATGTAGCTTACCATCAGCATATGCAATTAGAATCTGTCAATTAAAAGTAAATAGGAACCTGTCACCATGGTGCTGGCATGGCTGTCAGTCACCAGCGCTTGATGGCCAGACTGTTTGCCTGCTGGGGCTGTGGCACCCACAGCCCGTGAGGGCTCTGAGCTCTGTGGGGCAGGTGTCTTTGGCAGGGGGTTCAGTGTCCTGGAATCAGCAGAGAGTTTTTTAAGATTTTTTTTTCGAGACAGGGTCTCACCTGCTTAAGCAAAGCAGTCAGGCTCAGGATGCTGTGGTTTGATCCCCAGATCCTCACGCCTTACCAGACCTGCCCTGAAGGCATCATGAGGCTCAAAAAAAAAAAAAAAAATTGAAAATCTATGTCAACTTTGGCCAGGGAGATGGCTCAGCAGAATAAGCACTTGCCTGGCAAACACAAGGCGGGGAGGGAGAGAAAGACAGAGACAGGCTCACTCTGTGGCCCAGGCTGGCCTCAAACTCCCAAGATTCTCCTGCCTCAGCCTCCCAAGTGCTGGGGTGACAGGTGTATGCTGCCATCTCTGTAGCTAGCTAGCCCTTGGGATGTTTGGGGTGTCGGGCTCAGCTCCTGGGCAAGGCCACACACCCCGATTGGAGTCTTCAGCAA